ATGCTTATGTGAATGATTTTTCTTCTATTTTATCTATGTGCTGGAGCTCCTCTTAGCATCTTTTTAGTGGCTTGGCATCACGGTTAAAGAGACTGCAGTGTTATCTGAGGTTTTGCTGGATGAGTTGCCTGCAGAAAGAATAGGGTTTGGGTATCAAATAGAATAAACAGTGGCTTGTTTTAACAAGAAGTGAGCAGGGATTGCCACAGGATGGCTGGTGAGACTATTGGGTAAGACCAAAAGTATTTCTTCATTTGTGTTGTTCTGCTCAAATGTCTGGACACCTTGATTAGAAACATTAGGGAAATCCTCTGTTAGAATTTCTCTCAGTAGAATTAAATAACCCCATTAAAGAAAAAAAAAGCACATCCCAGTAGCAATGTAAAGCTATAAAACACAGAACGGCCACAGCGCAGAGAAAAGCTTCATGCCCTGGTGGGGACAGCCTTCCTAGAAGATGATGCTGTGCTTTGCTGACTGCTGAGCAAATAAAACCTGGAGTTCATGAACAGGCTGAGGATGTTTCCATCCTCAAGTAAAGATGGGTCTAAATGTTCTTTCTGCACCTTGGCACAAGTCATTGCACAGCTCAACATGTTGCAGTCCCTCTCTGGTAGGATCTGCTGGGGTGGAGGGCATCTGCTGCTGGGGAAAAAATAGAGCTGCAGGGTCACACACAAATGCGGTCATGGATATGGGACCTCTGGAGAGCATCAAGTTCAACCCCTGCTCGAGCAGGGTCAGCTGGAACAGGTTTCCCAGGACCATGCCCAGTCAGGTATTGAGTGTCTCCAAGGACAGAGACTTCACGATGTCTCTGGGCAACCTATGCCAGCGTTCGTCCTTGATTAAACATAATTTCCTATATTTCAGTGGGTGTCCTGTCATGGGGCACCACTGAGAAGGATCTGGCTCTGTCTCCTTCACTCCCTCCCATCAGGTACTTGTACACATAGATTAGATCCCCCCCGAGGCTGTCCTTTCCCTGGGCTAACCAGTCCCAGCTCCTTCCGCAGAGGGGATGTGTGTTTTGGCCAAAATAAGCCCATGCTCAATGCCTTTGAGAAGATGGGGAGAAGCTGCTTCTTCGGTCAAGAGGTGAGGGAGAGGTGTTGCATGCAGGCGTCCCCTTGCCCACTACTTGGGGTGTACCCGTCTGGGCAGAAAGTCTCTGTGAGGACAGACCATGCCACTGGGATCTTGGCACAGTTGCAGAGTTAGCTGGGCAGAGAGAAAATACCCTCCAGAGCTGCTGGATTTTTGAGTCTTAATTAATTAGAACTGTTCCCACGATAAGCTCAGAGAGGCTCGGGGGGCTTATGCAGGCTTTGGGGTGGAAGGCGCGATGGGGAGCGGGGCAGAGGGCTGCAGGAGCAATGGGGCGATGCCGCCTTTCACTGATGGACGGTCACAATTCCTCCATTCTAGCTGCTCAAATAATACCCAGTGTCTTGAGCAAATTTGTGTGTCTGATGTCTTTCTTGGCAGCACTGCCTGGTTTGAACCATGGTTTGCTGGGTCAGGATGTTTGCTAAGGTAAAAAACTCTGGCTTCCCATTCCCTACTCCTCCTCTCCCTCCCCTCTTCCATGCAGGACGCTGGGCTGCGAGAGGGGATGCCACAACAACGGGCGCTTTATCCTGGGAAGATAAAAGGAAGCTAACGTTGCCTCGCCTCTCCCCCTCTCTGCAGTAACAACAACCCCTACACCTCCTTCGGAGCCACGCTGGCGCGGGACGAGGAGCAGAACCTGTGGAGCACCCCGCACGACGTGACCCACACCGAGGCGGACGACGACCGGGTGTTGTACAACATGATCGTGGTCAGGAACCAGCTGGACAAGGACTCGGAGGTGAGGTGACGCTGTTCGTCGCGCTCAATTTCATCATGGGCCGAGGCTTAGTGCTTTCATCAGATGCTTCGGTGGTGCATTTATTTTATATACAGACCCCATGGTTCCCCAACGTGGCTCACATTAGGCATCACGTCCTCCCATCCGCTCCATCGCCCCCAGATTTTATTCTGTGTCGTGTGTGGTGGCATCTGTAGCCATCTCATCCTGCAGTCCCTGGTGGCTGAGGGAGAAGAGCTGGGACACACGATGCCCTGCAAGCACCTCAACCAGCACCACCCACAGACACGTACTGCTAGCACTGGGATCCCCAGCTCAATTTCCTAGCTTCACAGGCGGCTTTTTTGGTCCAATATTTCCCTGGTCTTGCCTTTCCGTGATGGGATCAGCGTTAACCCTGCCTGCAGTGGAGTTTGCCCGGCCGTGGCAGCGCCTGGGGCTGGACTGCCGCTCCAGTGACGCGTCAGGTTAAATACTGCTCTAATGGGTTGCACAGCAATTATCGAGAAGCGGAGAACTGGCACAGCTCTTAGCACGGAAGGGAAAAATCACTGCTGTTACATAAAGGCTGTTTTGCAGCCCTGATTTTCTTCGCTAAAGCACTTCAGTGCAAAGGAGATTCCAGTGGTCTGATTAGGAGCAGGCTGTAGCAAATAGTGACACATTTTCCCCTTTCTGATTGCTTTTAAGGTTTCAAAATGTTTGCAGGAAAGCCTGGAGGCTTTCACATTTAATTTAGGCATGATCCTACTTCATGCAAGAGACTGCAAGACTGTAAATCTTCCTCCTGTGATCATCTCCTTAAACCAAAAACTAGCTTAGCTTCACAAGAAGCTTTAAACTCCAGAGGTGCAGCTGAGATCAAAATTACAATTTTAAAAACTTAAGATAACGCAATCCTTGCATGCAGTTGGCGAGAATCCCCATTTAATGTTTTTTGTGGGTTTTTTTGGTGTGGATTGAATTAATCATGGTGTTTACAACAGATGGGTTTGTAACAGTGTTTTCATGGCTTCACGTAACCTTTACAGCTAGAACTGAAGACAGTCTTCTTTGCTCACCACCGCTGTCTTCTTTGCAAAAAAGACATGGAGCTTCATCCAGTCCAAACTGGCTGAAGGAAACAAGGACAACTCCAGTTAGGAGGCTGCACCGGTCCCAAGTTGTTGCAGAGCTGAGTGTGCTTCAGGGCAGCGCTGAAGCTCCTGAATTCAGCCCGCACCCATTGGAGCAGCCCTTTAGCTTGATTTAGGGCTCATTATGAGGCAAGGCCTCCTAAAAGCTATTATTATTTATAAAACGGTGTCGTAAGTGAATGGGCTGCTAAAAAGACATCTCCCTGGGCAAAGGGGAGTTGTGTGTCACCTTGCTCCGGCTGTAGAGGAGAGGTCTCCTGCACCTACTTGTCCTAAACCCATTGTGCCTGCTTGTCCTAAATCCAATGCTTTCTCCTTGCCTTCAGCGAATGCGTAGGGTGTGTAGTGGGTCTGAGCAGTCGCCATGCCTGCCAGTGAAAAAGGAAAGTACAAAGAGCATGAGGCTTCCTCTCCACAACAACCGTAAGGTCACATACCCAGGTTTTTTAGGCAGTGCAGTTAGCAAAAAAGCCTGAGGAGTATAACATCAGGTCAACTTTGAAGAAAGCCAGCACACGATACGCTTGATTTGAATTATGGCACAGTGCCCTTTGCAGACGGTGGTTGCCAGCTTCTCTGCTGCCTCTTTTTTACAGCCAGGGAAACTGAGGCACAATATATAAATCCATCAAGCTGTTGCAGTTTCCAGCTGTAGCTCTTCCTGGGTGGCAAAACAGGGAAGGACTGACAAAGCCAACATTCCTGCAGTTAGCACTGGGTGCCAAAGTCTCTCCTTACTCCCACGAGCATTTTAAAACTAGGCCAGGTTGCATTGCCCTCCTCTCCCTATGAGACTTCAGCCCTGAGAGTGAGAAAAAAGTTTAACTGCAAACCAGCACTGAGCTGCAAAAGCCATAATCTGCTTTGGGAGCTGCGTCACTCCCGAAGTCCCTGAGAAGAGTGTGTGGATGCTGCAGGACAGGGGACAGAGGAGCGGTTTCTTGTTTGTGCAGTGCACAAGTGTTACGAAACCATAGATTCTCTTTTTTTCTCTTGGTTAAAATTGGACTGAAAGGAGAACTGCTCCTTCATTCAACAAAGAAATTTTGGCGTAGTGTGCGCTTACTGTGTGCTTTGCCATTCCCCACCTTGATCTTAGCGATTTCCTAGCACAGGACTTTGGAAGGATCTCAAAGAGCAGGTTGCTCTAGCTCATGTTTGGTTTATCTGTATGGCACCATCTAGGCCTCAAACCAGTACCACATTTTCCTTAATCTGGCTAACTCCAGCTTTCCTGGATATTCTGGTTTTTTTAAAGGGTTGTTCACAGAGTGGCAAGACACTGCCATGAGCTAAGGCAGGAGAAGGGGTGGGCCAGGCTGACTGCGTTGGTGTGGTGCTGGAGGACAAAGGGCATGGGCCAGGCTGGACTGGGCACCTCTGTGTCCCAGTTCATTGTAAATAAATAAACCAAACTGTGTATGCCAAGGGCTGGGCAGTCCGACACCGAGCACACCCTGTAGCTCAGTCATTTTTCACAGGTTGGATTATGCGTGGTTGGGCTGCCAGCAACTCACAGCGGTGGTGTCTTCCCTCAGGGTCAGTTCCTTGCCCCTGCCGTGGGGCTGGACCAACATCTGATCCATTAGGAGAGGTTTCTTCTCGCTGCCCGCTCCAGCCAAATTTGGCAGCTCCAGCCCAAACTTGGTGTGACCTTAGCTTGCTTATGCTGCTCCACCCTGAACCAGGGCAGCAAGCTCTTTCAAAGAAAGCTCTGTAATATCCCAGGTGTGCCCCATTTGACACCCACTCGCTCGTCCTGCTCAATGCTGGGCTCCTGGGGTCATTGGTGGCCGTGGTGGAGCCCACTGGAACACCCAGTGGTTGCCAAGAATTGCTGGAGCCTCCTAAAGTCGTAAAGACTGAGCAACTGGCAGCTTTGCATTTCTCTCCACTTGATGGTCACGGTGCGCTTGGATGCACTTCTGGAAGGGAAGCTTGGGCAAGGGAGGGAGTGAGAAAACCAGAAAAGCCATAGCTGAAGGACTGGCTTAAGGGGGCTGGTAAAGCTGGTGTGGCCTTTGGAGATCAAAGCTGCTGTCAAACCTTTTGAAGGCTGGGGTCAACGTTTCAACTACAGGAAAAAAATATTTTTTTCTGCTCTGCAGCATCATTCAACCTTTTGTGGTGTAAGGTAGAACCCTTTTTGAGGCTATGAATTTCTGCAGGTGAAATGAAGACCTCTAGGAAAACAGGGTGTTATTTAAGATGCTGTATAGATACAGGCCAAGTCGTTATTTCAGCAGGTACCCTGCTAGTGGGGAGGAAAGTGTTACATGGGGAAGGGGGACTACTGTAGCTCTAGCAAGCCTCCGGTGTTAACAGCAAGAGCTGCAATGGGCTCATAGCTGGGCTTATGTGCGTGATGTGGCAGAGAGCCCCCTCCATGAGGTCCAGTTTGTGGTGGCCCTGGTGCCTTAATGTCCTCTGATGAGTTGTTACCCGGCCATGGGCAGACACCCTGAGCTGTGGCACCAATAGTGGCTCCAGAGAAGGAGCCAGGTTTAGAGCAGCTGCACCGTGGGTCTGCAAAGAGAAACTGAAGCTGGGTTTTTGCATTATGACCAAGGCAAAAACATTGTTCTTATGGCTTGTTGTAAATGCAGTGTTTCTTTCTTACTTTAGCTTATTCCCTTGGGGAAGGCGGGATCATAAACCCTGCTAGCAAAGGCAATTCCTCAGCCTGCACCTCTGCTGACAAGGTCTATTTTTCTGCTTCCTCCTGCTCTCCTACAGGATTATTCTTTTTCAAACATATTGCAGAGAAGGTCAGTGCAGCACGTTGTTGCTGAGGCATAGAGAGGTGATGGGATTTGTCCAGGGCTGGGGATGTCAGTTAGGAAGCCCAGAACTGACCCTCTTAATGCCTGCATGCCTTTCTTAAAACTGAATCCAACTGAAGCTTATTTTAAGCCAAGATGTCGGTTGGTAGTTCAATGCACGAGTGTGGATACAGAGTTTGTATTTGCTCAACTAATTCCAGTGAGGCCACTCTCAGAGCCAGAGTAGGAGCATCCCTGGATATGGCATGGTACCTGTTTTTGCAGTCTTTCCCTTTTAAATCTGTTCTGACCTCATTACCGAAATAACTCTTGAACAGAATGGTGACACCAATTGCTTTCAAGAGAATAAAGGAGAAGGCTTTGGTAGAGGATTGCTTTGGCAACATGAGGAAAGCTACCTGCTAATTAGGAAATTTCCATATGACCAGGGATGAAAAGTTGGACAGGGCTTGACACTTCTCTTGGCACATTTTTGCCCCAGAGCTCTCAGTTATGTACTCACCTGGCTTATATTTCATGCCCAGCATTTCCTCACTTCCATTTGGCATTTGCAGATTTAGCATATCATACCAGAGAGTCTGGGGAAGTTTTCCAGGTAAATATTTGAAGGGCTGAGTACTCAGAGGAGAGGCAGCAGGGTTTCCCTGCTGCTCCTGGGATATTCTTGACTCATGCACAAAGGGTTTCTCAGGCCCCCACTGGTATTTGTTGTGCCCTGCTATGTAGGTTTGAAAGGGCAAAACTGGTTGCAAAAAGACAGGGCCAGGAACTGCAACCTGCTTTGTTTTCCTGTGGTTAATTTGGATTCTCCTGAAAGGGTATTTTTCTTATTTTGAATGCATCACTGGGATGTCCCAGAACCACAGAAACACCAAGGGGTTTGGTGAAGACCAGTCCCCTCCCGTGCTTTCCCAGCACTGTGTGCAAGAAGCCTCCTCACCACTGCAGAAGTGACATCTGACGTTGCAAGAGGCAGGACACCAAACGGAGGTGCACGCGAAATGCAACACTAAGCCAAGCTGTGGCAGAGAGCTTCTTGTCCCACGCCTGCAGACAGGCTGGGACACCTCACTGGAAGGGGCTCCGGAGGGGAACCAGCCTGGGGTGCAGTGCAGAGGGCAGCTCTGCCCGGGGCTGCCCAAGCATCAGCGTGCCCGGTCCCTGTCGCCGCAGCCGTCCGTGTGCCAGCGAGGGCTGAGGGAGAGTGGGGTTTGGCAAGAAGCCCCAGCTGTCAGCTCTGGGGCTGCCTGGCAGCAGCGCTGAGCAGCCTCAGCCTCGTGATGCTGCCCGGTCCCGAGCAAACGCTCCCTCCAAAGGTCACACTGTGGTGACTCACAGGGTGTCCATGGGCAATGCCAAAGTCCCTAGTGTTGCCCATTCCCATGCCAGGGCAGGACAAACTTTGTTCTTCCTCTGCTGCTTTACAAGGGCGTGCAGCGATAGGATGAGGGGCAACAGTTTTAAACTAGAGCAGGGTGGATTTAGACTGGATGTTAGGAAGAAGTTCTTTACTATGAGAGTGGTGACACCACTGCCCAGAGAGGTGGTGGACGCTCCATCCCTGGAGACATTCAAGGTCAGGCTTAATGGGGCTCTGAGCAACCTGATCTAGTTAAAGATGTCCCTGCTCACTGCAGGGGGGTTGGACTAGATGACCTCTAAAGTCCCTTCCAGCACAACACATTCGATGGTTCTATTCTATTCTGTGTAGTTAAAGGGAGATGCTTTTTAGAATAACTTTGAAGTGGAAAGAAGCTCTTAATTTTATTTGCTCAATAAAACAACGCAGAGGACAGGCCCCTGCACACAGTGTTTAGGACATCTCCGCTACATGGAATCACCTGGGAAAACTCAGTGGTTTCTGAGGCTCATGGAGAACAGAGCATGACTCCCTTCAAAAGCTCATCCTGGGGCTTCCCAACACCTGATAATCTCTGCTGTCTCTAGTTGCTTTTCAATGACTGACATCACGCACAGCATTCTCCTCCCAACTTTCTCTACATAAACCTGAACATATCCAGCTCATGCTCAGGCAAAAGAAATTCCACCAAAACAAGAGTTTCCCCTTCTAGGCACCACTGTCAAGCATCTTTTTCTCTACCAAAGCCACTCCTTTGCATACTCCCCAAATTCTTCATCAACAGAACACTGCTAGAGGTCCCCTGAGACTAAATACACACCGTATTCACTTCCATAAAGCAACTCAGTAACTATGACATGCAAGAGCACCATAACCTAGATTTCCTTAAAACAAAAATAGACAAGGGAAAACCATGCTGCTGTTAATCCAGAGAAAATCAGGAGCAGCTTCCCTGCATGCTAAGCACTGCTCACCATCTAGCTTAGCGAGGAGTCTGTCTTATCCCCACAGCCCTGAAGGCTGCTGCCCGGTGCCAGCGAGCCACTTCTCAGGGAGAGGAGCATCTTTCCCACCTGCCCTGGCTGGCTAATTCCACAGCCGGGAATCCCAGTGGCTGCAATGATCAATCGTCTGCATTTAAAGCATTTGTTTATCGCTGTGGGAGGGCAGAGACGTGTGGCCTATTTCCCCACCAGCGTGCCCAGACTGATTTGCTCTTCTTTTTGCTTATACTGTGGGGTGACAAGCGGGCTGAGATGTTTCCAAGGATCCCTGCCAGTGGGGACCAAGGCATCGTGCAGCCTTTTAGTCTCCTCTTAAAAACTTTCAAGTTTGCAATAAGCTTCCCACAAAGCTTTAATACAATAAACTCCCTCTTTTCTTTTTGACTGAGAGGAGCTCAGTTCCTAGCTACAAGCTAGGTGTCATGAGCGAGGAGAACCTTTTCCCTGCCTCCTTTCTGTCGCGAAGGGCTGAAGAGGCGTTTTGATGCCTCGTGCCTCGTGCCGCCAGCCAGCTGCCCTCCTGTGCAAACAGCAGAACTGTTTTCAAGTACCACCGTGGCCAAGAGAGAAATACACCTCTGATGGGCGAAGCTGGCTTGTTGTGAGCAGCAATACAGAGCTAAAAATGAAGGGGATTTTGCTCTCTGGGAAGAGGAGTGGTGCAGAGCGAGCGGCTGCAGGCAGAGCCGTGTTTTGCCTGCTCTCCTGACCTGAATTCACCAGTGTCTTAACCTGCCAGCTGCTTCTTCCAAAGGGTAATCTCCAAGGGCTTCCTGCAGCTATCACTGAACAACAAGAAAACAGGCTTGTCATTTAATTCTCTGCAGTCGCGGTGTGTCAGCCAGGTTCAGGAAAAAACACTAAGAAATCTCTAACTCTTTATCAAATCAAGTCAACTCTTTAAGACACCAGGTGTCAGAAAAACAGTGCAATCTCTAACACACAGCTGACCTTCACGGGTACTGTTTAATCCCTGCAGTATGTCACATAAGAAAATCCCAGGGAGACAGCACAGATTAACACCTGTTTATTCTACAGGAGCCCATCTATGTCATCTGTTGCTGAGAAATGAGATTAATTAAGGTTGTTAGTGCAGGGAAATTATCTGAGTGCTATTACAACCTGCTGTGCGGATGCTTCTGTAAATGCATCCTTTGCAGTGTGTGCATTGATTAAACGTGGCTAGAAAAGGTCCTGGTTTTCTTGTAGAATACCTGCATTTCCACAGGAATGCATTCTTGCACAGATGTGTTTATTTGTGCTGGTATAACTTTAATAAACAGCCTCATAACCTTCCCTTGTAAACAGTGTCCCATCGTGCAGGTATAAAGCTTGAGGTCAAGTGTAAGGACTTAAGCTGTGTAGCTAAATGAGGCCTTAACTGCAGCAACTGGCAGTCACTAATAGTTACTATGTCAGATGACTCCAGCTCAGCCCTCAACTATCCATGCGCATCCCTCTTCTCTGCTATTTAAAATAGGGTACCCCAGCCTCTAGAAAAAAGTCTATTTTTTCTTATTTTCCAGTGCTTTTTCCACAAAACCTGCCTGCTCCAGTTAAATGCCAAAGAAAGCGCTGAGTGTTTTGAAGAAGTTGCTGTATGTGTGACCACAAAGTTTTCAAACTTCTAGTTTCCTGTGGGCTATCATCAGCTGTAAGGACATGTGCCATGTCAATTTGATCTGCGAGGATGTGAAAATAAGGTGTTGTGATAGTTTACAGGAAGTAATTCTTAATATGTGGTTGTGGTTTCTCAAGCTGTAAAGGCAGAATAAGGTATTTTCACAGCCGCAGGTTTTGCTGCTAGCTGGTGTGTCAGACTTTGCAGTAAAGAACTTTGGACCAGAGAGACCCAAGTCTCTCAAATAAACTACATTCGGAAGTTCATGTTATTTTCCAGCCTCAGACGACGTTATGATTTCCAGCACAAAGCTGGAAACTGACTCAGGAGACAACTTTGGTCATCAGCAATGCCTAAGTTCAATTCTGTAATCCCATTTCAAGGTAACTCAAAGCCTGGTTTGTGCATGCAGAGAAAATACAGCGATGCTGTACCAAATGTGGAGCTAAAATATTCTATGCTTGTCAGTGTAATTTCTTCCAGGGGCAACAGCAGAGAGGCCATTGACCTTCACGCTGATCCCTCAGTGCCGACATCAACACTTCAACACTGGCTCTGTTTCTAAACACTGAAATTCCTAGAAAAGCAGCAGAAACCTCCCTGCATGCAAATGACTGAGTATCTCTTATCCCTTTGCTTTGCAGGAATGGCAAAAGCTCAACTATGATATTTATACCTTACGGCAGACTCGAAAAGAAGTGAGAAGCAGGTGGAAGCACATTTTGGAGGATTTAGGTAAGTGAGAGGACCAAAAGTTGCTGTTTTCTTGGTATCGAATCAGAGATCCCATGATGGTGAAGGATAGCAGTGCCTCTACAAAATCAGACTGGTAAAGGAGGGAGGGAGAAAATAAAACAATGCCATCAGGTAGTCCCCATGGCAGCTGAGAACCTGCATGAGGCTCCCCAGAGCTCAGGCATGTCTGGGCGGAGACGGGGCCACCGTGTCTGTGGGCACACCAAAAAGCCCACAAAACGCAACCAGCAGGAGAACCTTTCAAGTCCATAATAGCACACGCAGTCATCCATTTCAGGTTTCCTTGTGCAGACTTAGCAGGGATACCTGGGAGTTCACCCTGTTTTTTTCTAAACAAGATAAGCAGGGAGAAATGAATATTCCTTTCAGATTTGAACACAGATACATCTAGTTTCCTTCCTTAGCCCATGCCAGCTGATCAGAGCGGAACCACCCACTTGGTTTGCTCCTAAGTGAACCTGAAGTATTCTTTCACCAAATAAAATTGCTCAACAGCGTGCCTCCTACTCCTGCTGTTTCCCACTTTGCAAACACCAAACTGCACTCACCGGTCCTGTGTGCTCAGCTGCAGCTCCGCTGCAGAAGGCAGTGGTGGGTGCGACCCAGTTTTCCCAACTGCGCTGCACACAGCATGTGACATTTGGGCCAAGGAGCTTGGTGACTTGCATCATGCTCTGGAGGTGGTTGGCAGCTAACGAGAGGGAGGATGTGCGAGTGGAACGTGCTCGTTGGGCTGTTCGAGGATATTATCACTGGGAGCAAAAGAGATGGATATCTCAGTCTCTCCTGCCCTACCTGCCATTCTGGCATCTGTGGATAGGAGGAACATTATTAATTCATGACTTGGTATCAGCGTTCATCTCCACCCAGGTGCTCGCGCAGCCTGTACAGACCAACATGGGAGGGATCACTTGAGACCCTGACATCTGTTTCTGCACGTTGACAAGGGCTCTCCCACACCTCCCTCACGTCTGCAATGGTTTCGGAGCTGTTTTGCAAAGGGTGGAGAAGCTCAAGGCCAGGGATCATCTAGCCTTAGCAAAGCTAGATATGCAACCAGGTGTGAAACAAGCTATTTTTTTTTATCTAGACCTGTGCTTGAATCACAAGACCACTCCTCTTTTCCCTGTGTTTTCAGGTGAGATGCATCACCTTCAGCTCCCTGGAGCTGAACAAAGAGTTAGTGGTAGCCACTGCATTTGAAGATCCCTGAATTCACTCTCCTCCCTCTTTCCTTCCCTGGATACCCTTTCCGACTGCTACAGGAACAATTACCCTTGCATTCATTACTGCTGCAGGTTTTTTATTGCTGTTACCTCCCAACAACATACAGGCATAGTCACGGGGGTGCTCAGGAAGCCCCACGAGCCCCAAAAGTTCTGGCAGCATCAGGAACACTCAAGAGCTGAGCCAGCCCCCCGGGTGTGGATGGTTATATGCCTTCTCTGGAAAATGAGCAACAGACTATGGGTTTTTTTAACTCATCAACAAGCTCATACCTGCCCCGAGCGCAAACGTGGAGCGTGCCTCAAGGAAATGCTCATTTGTTTTAGCAAGTAGAGAACGCAGCAGCCCAAGGTGAAAGGGGAATTAAGGAACCTTGTGTGGAGGATTCAGAGATGACCCTGTCCGCACATTTTACTCATTTCTGGAACATTATTTCTTTCCCAGGTTTCCAAAAAGAAGCAGACTCCCTGTTGTCAGTGACTAAACTCAGCATCATTAGCGACTCCCAGAACATGGGCAAAGCCCGGGATATCCTGTTAAAGCTGTCTGAGGAGACAAACATCTTTCCGATGAGCTGGGAGCTTTCTGAGCGCTACCTCTTTGTGGTGGTGAGTAGCTGCAAGCATGCCTTCCTCCCCCCTGCCCCCATCTCTGGAAGCGAGCTCAGATGAAACGGAGCAGATAGGTGAACCGCACGAGAGGATCCTCAAATACATGGTGGCATCTGGAACATCCCCACCAGATGCTGCACTTGAGGCTTGGCTGTTTAGCTCCCTTGGAAATGCCACTGCTGTAGTGCCAGAAATTTGCCCCCCACTCCCCAAGTTTCCTTAAGCCTGTGTAACTGGGCGCTCCTGCAGCCTGTTAATGAAGTGGGAAAAAATTAGACCTAATGCCTGCCTGAACCTGTGGAGGGAGGACCCTGACCGGGGGGCTGCCAAAAGCAGCCAACAGTGACTGTAAAACCCCATTGCTTTGGCAGGATCGGCTCATAGCTCTGGATGCTGCAGATGAGTTCTTCAAGATGGCCAGCATTGCGTATCCGAAGAGACCCAGAGGGGAAAGAGCGGACGATTGCCAATGTATCTCTGTTGTGACGCCTTGAGGAACGTGCTGGTGTGAGATGGACAGTGAGTTTCCTTCCCTCTGGGACCAGGCTCCTCTGCCGAGGGGTTAGCACAAGTAGTGCTGCTTCTTGTTTTCCTGCAGAGAAGTAAATGGGCCGGCTGGAGCAGAGCTAGAAAGTCAGCGAGACGTGCCCCACCGGGAGAGCACGGGAAGGTGGACGCTGGCCCCGAGGTGCTCCCAAGCAGAAAGGGAGCAAGAACTGCCATAGTGTAGCCCTGCTGGGAGACCACTAGCTGAGTAACGTGTGTGATAGGCACAGGGGGAACCCACCCTGTGAGACTTTGCTACCAGTAGCTGCAAAAGTTGAGATGCCTGTGGTTCCAAGCACTACAAGAAGATCTGCATTTCCACCTTCCACTGATACCTGCCACTGTCCCCTTGACCCTGCTAGCCAGGAGGACCAGCAAGGAAAGAATACCTCAATCTACAACTCCGTGATGTTTCTTTGTGTGCTGGTCCTCCTCTTCATCTCCAGCCCATGGCAGCCCTGCTGAGCAGATGCCAGGGGATTGGGCAAAGAGGCAGGAGCAGCACGTAGCTCGGAGAGGAGTTTGTGCTGGCAGCAAAACCTTGGGGCAGTGTCACAGCTGGGTGCCATGTCCCTTGCCAGTGGTTGTTCGGAGGCATTTGTGTCAGGCATGCTCAGCCTGACGTCGTAGAAGAAGGTAGATTTTAGGAAGGTGCCAATTGCTGCTGAGAATTTGGCTCCTATAATATCCTCGGATTAGTTGCCCAACATCTTAACTAATTTCTGACAGTTTTGGTCTTAACTGCATTAGAAAACCCCGCTATAAAGCTGCATGTACTGTCAGTATATACCATCCTTGCTGTTAATGAGGATTTTTAATGAACATCTTTTATATCCTTTTTTTGTGTGATAATGAGCAATAATTTTAAAATACTGGATTTGATCATTTAAAAACAAGTGAAAGTTCTTCACTGGTCAACACGTGTGCTGCTATTTGGCCAGTTGAAGATGGTGAAACAGAGCTTTTATTTGTTTGTATCTACAGTGTTTGAAAGATATATATATATTTATGAATTGTTTCTGTTTGTCAGTCTTCTTGGGAAACATTTGTGTCAGCTCAGGACATAAGTGAAAACTAAGTTTAATAAACAAAACACATCACAAAACAAACTTTCCTTACTTTCTCTGTGACCCCGTTCAGGCGACAACATTTATCTTGACTGCTGATAGTAAAACACTTAGAGTTGCCTTTTGACTTGCATGAGTAGGGTCATTTGCCAGCCTACAACCAAAGCCTTCGCAGGGGATGACAGGGATTGAATTTAATTTCAGTGGGATTTGGACTTAGGTGCCCAGTTGCCATTGATCTAGTTTTAAGCAGCACCTTTGCAGAACCATCCGCTGCTGTCACTTGTAGCTGTGGAACTGGCTTCATTGTCAGCAAGATGCATTTTGTTGTAACTTAATAGGACAGAAACTGCCTAAAAGGGATAATAATTAGGATCTCTGAATGAGTTCAGTTACCGAAGCCAGGCCCTGTGCAGAAGAACCGCGTAGAAGCTACCAGGGAGACGCACACCTTAAACTTTTGGTTGGATTTGAGCTTCCTCTCCTGCCAGAAGGAAACAGCTCAGTTTATCTCCAGCCAAGCTTTGGGCTGTGTCTCAGGGACCAGCAGGAGAGGATCCTACACCTGGAACCCAGAGACAGCACCTACTTGCCATAAAGTTCAGAAGGTTCAAATACTGCCCAGTTGCCTATTGATACTGACCTGCCAGAGGTGTTTTAAAGATGTATTTAGTCTTTAACAGTGGAAAAGTTACCCGTGCTTACACAGCAGATACAGTGAAACTGTCCTATTTAATGCCAAGAACAAAGATGGGGAAAGAGGCACAAACAAACATCTCCTAATGAAACTCATTCCAGATTTTAGGCAAGTTAAAATCACTGGCAAGGGAAAGGCTCCTGGGCAACACTTGTGTTTTGGGTCTCAAACTGGGAATGTGAGATTAAACTGAGAAGATGTTCAGATGGTAGCAGGCCTCTGGGTGGACAGGCTGCCTCACCAAATAGACCAGGGAACCTCAACAGGCAGCAAATTCCTCTCCTTTGAGAAAGATGGACTAAAGATTTTGTAAAATATATAAATGTTAAACAACATCCAAGTCAGAGGTTCCCTGATGATGCTGCATCACCACCATGGTCCTGCGTATGCAGAATTCATCCCCCAACAAGAGCAATTGCCTTCCTCACTAGACACAAGTTTGGGTTTCTCTGGTTTGATGTGCCCTCCAGTTCCGTCGCTGCCATTTGGATGGGCTCAAGTCTCCCACATGACCTGTATGACACTTGGATACTTGTACAGCTGTCTTTGACATCCTAGAGGTCTCAAGCGCCTCTAGATACGTGCGTTTGGGGAGCCGAATCCTGTCCATGCTCAGCGAAGCCCCCTGGCACCCACCTGGGAAGCGATGGCTGTAAGAGAGGCCAGTGAACACCAGATGCCACTGTTCCCTTAGCCGTGCTGCAGCGCGCTCAGGGAAACTGTTTACAGCGCAAGGGAAAATTTTCCAGCCTTTTTGTGCATGCATCAAGTCTCCCAAGCCTGCAAGAACTGGTTTTCTGTTAAAAGTTGGGAGGGAGACACTGAATAATTGCACTAGTGCTTTCCGAGCGACCGTGGCAAACCCACCTTTCTTTCAAAGGTTTGCAGGGCTGGGGGCAAGGCTTCTGCTCCTTTTTGGAAGTGCCACTCGGCCTGGGGCTGCCTGCTGCAGGAATTAGCAGGTTCACGAAGAACATTTATTTTTCTAAATAGAGACTGACTTTGCCACCCCTTCCTTTGCCAGGAAAGGAAAAATATCAAATATTCTTTAAAATGAGGGTTTAAAGTACATCTGGGTTCACTTGGCTTTCAGATACTTTTTTTCCTCTCAACCTAACTTTGCATTTAATGTTTCTATTATAAAGAAAGAAAAAGAACAAAAAAGAGTGGGATACACAACATTTTTCTTCCATCCATAAACCACTTGGTTTTCCTTTTCCTAAGCCACAGAAGAAGCAGACACAGCTAGCAAAATTCATGGGATAACTTGAAACAGATAACCACTGCGTTTGAATCAGAGCAGCTTTTCCAAAGTGAGAAATCCTGATTTATGCCGACTGATGGTCTAAGCTTTGTCTTCTACCAGCACCCATTTGGTTATTTCAGTCATTGCCTGTATCAATCAGCCTGTTGAACAAATCTGGAAAAACACCTGTGCCTAATTGCTGGTAAATATACTGGCTTACCAGCGGCTAAGCTAAGTAAATATTTTAGTTTTTTGAGTCGTGGGGGGCAACACTGTAGAATTCCCTTTTTCTAAATTAAAAATTAAAGGTAGGAATTAGGTATAGTGCAATAGCTATCTGTAACAGAGACCGGCTAGGAATAAAAATAATTTACAGACCATCCTGACTGTGTATGTGCACACATGGTGTCTTCCTTGAATTCCAAGTTTTCCTAAGGCATATATCACAAATTTGGCAGGATGAGGAAAAAAAATATCACGGTGAAAATTCAGCTGTGAGCTGCAAGACAGGCAGAAGGTGGCAGTGCGGGTGTTTGGGAAAGGCTGGAGCAGCATCAGGCAAGGGAGACGGGAGGCAGTGGCCTGAAAGCAGTCAGGCTTTCCGTTTTACTTGCTGTGGATGTAAATCACACCATAAGTTCTGATAAATAATGAGAATGGACATGGGAAAGAAAACTGTCATCTTTTAAATTTCAGCTATAGGAAAAATTACCATTTCAAACCACTCAGTTTCAATCGTTTCTAATGTTAGAAATTCCAACACTTACATACTCTTCCTGGAGGGAAAGCATGTACTTTTCTAATCTGATGAGGATCAGTAATGTTTGTTACTGATGATCAGTAACGTTTGTTACTGCTGCTGTGACTTACCACAAAATAGCTCTCCAAAAGCCTTTCTTTGAAGACAACCAACCACTTTTACATGGGGAGCCCTTGTTAGGCAAGTTAGGGATTGCCAGAAGCATTTCTTTGGCTTATAAATTGCAGACCTTGCGGACACATCTGTAGGGAAGCTGCCCTTGCACCAGGCAGGCCATGGAGAAATCTGGTCACTGGACACTCCTAAATGCCCTAAGGAAAGACGTATAGAGCCAAAGCTTGTCTAATTTTTCTATCAGTCAGTCTAAAGAAATGTACCATCTCTCCCCCATCCTTACCCTTGAAGGAGTTAAACCATTTTTCAGAAGCAGCAGTAAATTCAAGTGACTATTTTGTCTTAGATTAGGAAAGGAAGATGCCACGGAGGTTGTGGGCACCCTTGACACAACAGCATCAAAATAAACAGATTTGGGGAGTCAAGCTAGTGAACAGGCAAACAGGTAGAGCCATTTTAAAGCCAAGACAAGGGGGCAGCAAATGGAGACAAATGGGCACAGCCCAGTGAGCGTTTGGCAGGTGGAAAAGGTTGTGTGCAATGGGTACAGTGTTGCTGCCAAAATACGTTGTGGTGATGCGGCAGAGTGCGTCATCTGGGTAGCACCAGCAGGATGAAATGTGTTTGTGTTTAATGCCTTAATAACCATCGTTAAAAACCCTGTTTGACGATAGCTCGCCAGCAGATCAGAAAGAAGACATATTTATGAAACGATGTGTTACCCAAAAGTTTTTCCTTTCCAGAGTGACAACTTTATATCTGTTCAGCTGCTGGGATTCTTTCCATTGGCTTGAACTGGGTTTGAGTCAGACTTCGGAGACACAAACACCAGGGCAAGTCCAGACACCAGTGAAGCCAAAAACAAAACTTCTGCCAGCTGTCCATCTATTCCTCCTCTGTATCAAAGTCTCAAAAATAATAAGCATGGCTTCTCTAAAGATTTCCACAGGAGATGAGGGGATCTACCTGTACTTGCCTGAAGGAAGAAAATAAAGCCAAAGAATCACAGGGAAAATTCAGGTTGGAGGAGACCTCAGAAGGTCACCTCAGTCTTCTTGCTTGAA